CCCCTTCCTCCTCCTCCTCCTCCGCCACTGACCGGTCCTTGTCTCTCCGTCTCCCCTCTTGCAGGTTTTTGGCTGAAGCGGAGCAGCTACGTGGAGCAGCCGAGCATCCGCTTTCGGCACGAAGTGCTGTTGCTTCCTTGGCTGCGGGGCGGCGGCGGCGGCGGCGGCGGCGACTTCGTGGGCTGGAGCTCTTTCCCCGCCTGCAACCGTCTCCTGGGCGCCCGCCTGCGCGTCCCGCTCGTCTCGGTAGGCGCCTCTGAGCGCGTGCAGAGTGCACGCCTCCCTCCTCCCCTGGCTGCGGGGCGGCGGCCTTTGCAAAAGCAAAAAAGGGACATTTTTTTTTAAAAGGAAGGGAAGGAAGGAAGAGATATATCCCAGCACCCCCCAAAAAAAGATTATATTTGCATAAAATGGCATATCATCATCATCATCATCAAAGCTGGAAGGGACCCTTTGGGTCATGAGTCCAGTCCCTGTCAAGGAGAATAGAAATCCCAGCTGCTGCCAGAGACCTAAACCACTGAGTTCTCCAGCAGTTTTCTGCTCATGTATGGATTTATAAGTGTATGCAAACGACTTTATAATTTAAAAGCAGAATTTGAATGCAGATCACTGGAGCGGGTAGCATGGAGGTCAGGTAGCCTGTGTACCTCTTAGGCCTAGTTCTTGAGGTGGATGGGCAGCTTCCAAATCCATGCGCTCGCACCACCACCCCCTTCTCCTAGCTCCTTACATCCTGCTTTGTCCAGGCGGTCCTTTAAATGCAGGACCTCTCTAAAAATAAGATGGCCCTCTGAAACAGAGAGCTACCTTCTTCCTGAGCAGCGCCCTGCTGTGGTTTGCCTTTGGGAGTTCAAGACCCCTAGTTCAGAGTAAGTCAGTAGGACCCTCTGCAGGTTTCCTCAGAAGTAAAACTGACTCCTGGTGCAGCGCTGCTGCTTCCATGTGGCTCAGAGACAGCCAGCGCAGGGTAAACGGATGTCTCCCCTTTCAGGAAAGGCGAATAGGAGGAGGTGTCGCTTTGGCTTTTTAATTTCAAATGACAACTCATTATATATGTGATTGACACCCTGCCTTTCTCCCAACAGATAGACTCATGCTGACTTTTAAAGAATTCCAGAAAAAGCAAAAGTTAAAAATACAAAAATTGCAATTTATTTATATATATATATAAATGTTGAACTGATTTTTCCAGCACAATTACAGAATTCAAGACTTCAAAGGCAAAGACTAAATTCAGTCTCATTTTGAGACGGTGATCAGCCGCTGCCAGGTGTGATCTCATAGCTTTTTTTTTTTTTCTTCCCGAAACACTGCTCTAACTGTTGTGTTTCTGCTTTGGGAGACCAAAGAGCAGCACATCAGGGAAGGGATAAGAGAACAAAGGCTAAGCAGGCCTTTCTCGTGTGCTGACGGAACGAGGCATCCATTTCCTCAGGCGCCAGAGCAGCCCTTCCCAACGCAACTGGTTTCCACCCGGTGGGGATAGGCATCGGTCCAACTGCCTGCGACGGACGGACGGCCGCCAGCTTAGGTGCCAGGGGCTTAATTCTCTTGTGCTTGAGTTAGTTTGCATATCTGTGAATGGTAAGCGGAAACAAAGACATGTCATTTCAAAAACGAAAGGATTATAATCCTGGCCTCTCCGAGTTTAACTGCATTCAAAGTTCTGGCTTCCAGTTTTAATACAATAGGAGTGGTTTTGGCACAAAGCGTGTTGCAAATCCATGGCCGTAATTCAGGCTTGAGGTGGTGCTCACCTGCCCTTGCCTGGAAAAGCCACAACCTTGAACATCACCTTTGTGTGAACCGTGATAGAATCCACAGGAAGGTGTCTGCCCAGTTCCCACACTCTCTACATATTCCCTTAAGGGTCCTGTACAGCACCCAGTGGCTGCTTAGCTTTGACTTTGTCTTAACTTTATGACTCCTGCAGATGAAGCAGTGGGAGTGACTGCAGCTGAGAACAACTGTATTGACAACTGGCATCTCACTGACCAAGAAGCCAAAGGCCCACAAGCTGCAGTTAAGGAGCTATCAAGACGAGAGTCTGGGTCCACCAGAGTACCATATGGAACACTGTTTCATGGGCCTTTGCTTTCTAGATCAATGTGATTCATCAGCTCTGACACATTTTGTCCGTGTTGGTCCTCAGGGCACGGAAAACCCACAGGTCCTAAGATTTCTGTGAAGAACCCAAAGGGCCACCTGAAGGAGATCTTGACAAACATATGTTGCGGGTGATCTTCTACCTGAACAATAGGTGCCATTGTAAGGACCACCTGGGTGTGGGCACTCTGGTCTGTGTTGATTCTGGCAGCTGTAAGATGGAGAGATTTTCCCTATTTGTTTACCACGTTGCTTCTCTTAGAAGTGATCAGATAACAGATATTTGCAAAAGTGTTTGCTTTCATCAAAGTTCCTGTTCTGCTCGTAGGCTAGAGAGGAAGACATAAATCAAGATGGCATAATGGACCTATTAAATTTCTGGCTGGAGCTCCCACTACAATCTAGTGAGGAAATGGTCGGGATCCAGCTTCTTCTGACTTTCACCTATCAGTTGCAGGTGAGTATCCCCGCTCCAATTTCCTTAGCTTCTGTGATGCATTTGTTGTCTGCACAATGACAACAACAACAAACCAAAAAAACCCCCAAACCTCAGAAAAATTACAAATATTGTCCTAGCTCACTCAGCACAGAAGGACATGGAATGCTGCTAAATTCCAGGCCACCTGTTTTACCTGAAGCATTCTCAAAGAGGATAAAAAGGGCAGGAGAAAAAATAAACAGACCAGGAGCTAAAGCCATTCCTTTTCAGAAAAGGCTATGGTGTTTGGGACTCCTCTCAGTGAAAGAGATGAATTCCTTGAGGGGAGGGACAACCCAGGCTGTGCAGAAAAAAACAGAGGCAGCTTTTCTCCCC